ACTGACTGCTCAACCAGCCCTGGGCCAGGGGTTAAGTGAGGAGCTTGAGCCTCCAGTCTGGATTTTCTGCCCTTGGAACTCAAGCACTACGATCAATGTGAAGAACAAGTCACATTTTTTTTTCCCACAATTACCTCAGCAGGTTGGTTTTTTTTTTTTTTTTCCTTTTGCTAAATTCATGCAATAAAACGCATTAAATGTAACAGCATGGAAAATAAAAGTTCCGTTTGCAGAGAGAGCCTGATTTAGTGTGAAGATAAAACAAGATAAAACAACTGGAAAATTAAGTGGGATAAATAAATTCTGCTGGGAAGAGGCCAAGTTGAGAGAGGGGGAGGTGTGTGTGTGGCAGTGGCCTGGCAGTGGTCAGTGCAGCTGTGAATCCCATTCCTAAGGTTTTCCACCAAGGAAAGGGGTGATGCTTTGCTTTGTACCCCCTCCCACAAACTGATGGGTGCTCAGTTTTATCCCTGAACAGTGAGATGTGATTCTCCCTTCATGGGGAGGGGGTATATTCCTCCTGCCTGTGCTCATGCCATCTCTTTTTGGTGAAGAAATGAAGAATATTCGGCAGCAAATGGGAAAAGCACGAAGCAGGGTGGCGGGGTGTGGAGGAAGAGGTGTTGGGATGGATTGCCAAATATGCCAGGGAAAAATTAGCAGCTGCAAGTGTGCAAGAGAAAGGTGGAGAAGAAAAGGGATAGGGACAGATGGAGAGAAGGAGGGAGAGAAGGAGGAGGTGGGAGGAAAGGGAGGAGGGGATAATAGCGTGGAAAGAAATTAGTTAAAAATCTTATAGCCCCGAGCCCAGACACCATCTGGATGGTGCAGGGTACCGAGACACAGCTCCACATTCACCATGGAGGTGTCACAGATGTCCTGGCCAGGTAGGGTGGCCAAGATGCTCAGGATTAGAAATTCCCCATGCCCCAGGAGAAAGATGCCTTAAAAGAACCCAGTTTTGGGAAAAAGTGCCAGTGGCTGTCTGCCAGCTGAGGAGCAGAGGGGAGCTGTTGCCATCAAAAAAGCTTCTCTGGGGTTTCCAGAGAGAGATCTGGAGAACTTCCACTTCCACTGGTGCTGGAGGGCGAATCCCTGGGAGCAAAGATTACTCTTTGATTAAACAAGCACAAAGCCTCCAAGGACTGCTCTTCCCTACAGCTCTGCCTGGGTTTTGCTTTCCTGGGTGCAGCATTAACTCCTTCTGTTTTGAACAAGGCTGAACGGCTGAGAGACAGCAAAGTGAATCTCAGAGAATGGGAAAAAATAGGGGAAAAAAACCCTCTTTCCCATTATCTTTGCCTTAAGATTTAGTTTTCTTTGCCTGCTGAGGACTGTGACAAGCACATGGTTTGTTGTGCCCACTGAGAGAAAAGCTGCTGTCCTAGGGTGAAGCCCATTTCAGTGGTGCAGCTGTGTCCATGTTTCCTACATTCCCCTACCCAGGCAGGTTTAAAAGGAGTGAGAAATGGTCCTTGGATCTCTTTAGGAAGAGGCAGTGTCCCAAAGCAGCAGGTGGCATTTGCAGTGTCCCAGTGGAACTGCAGTCACTCCATCCCTCACTGCACAGATCCTGAGGGAGCTGGACTCACTCCCTGCTGCACAGTGAGCATTTCAGTGTGCCCTGAGCTGTGTGGAGAAAGGGGGAATGATCTGGGAGCAGGAACGAGGCTGGGGAATGAAACCCAGGGCGGCCATCCGTGGGTCCCAGTGCCTGCAGGCTGCTTCCCAGTATGATACTGGTGCTGTGCTATGGCTGAGCTTCCTCATGGCCCCCAGGCTCTGGTCAGTCACTAATTACTTCCAGGTCTGTACTCCTGACATTTGCAAGCTCCTGATTAGAGCAACGAGGGAGAAATCTCGGAGGGAGAGGGAGGCCAAACTGCACCACTCAATAAAAGCTGAGATTGACAATCGGCTGGGAGGGGAGAGCCGGGGAGGTGCAGGAACTCGTCCTTGCCAGCTCGGTTTCTTTCCGAGCCTCTGGGATGATGAGAGAGGGTCAGGGCTTGTTAACGTCACCGTGAGGAGCAGGATCCGCCACTGCCATATGCCTGGTGCCCCCAGGGCCTGTGCCAGCCTTGAGTCCCTCTCAGCGGGGGGATATTTTTAGCCATGGACCTGAACTGAAGCCACTCTGTACAGCCTCAGGTCTGCAACTGTCTCGGTGCAAGAGTGCCTCTGCCTGTGTCTGCTGACTTTGTGCTTCATGCACATGTAGCAGACTCCTGGATTTCAAGGTGGTTTTTTTTCCCCTTGCCCTTTTCTCCCCCATGTCCCATCTCACTCCCTTCATTTGATGGCTGTGCAGTCACTGGGGAGGTAACCCCAGCAGTGGGACTGGGACATATCTGTGATGGGATGTCCCAGAATACCAAACCAAGAGAGGCTGCTCTGGCTGCCTGCAGCACTGTTGGGTGCCCAAAGTGGCCTCTGGGATGAGCTTGGTTGAGCCATGTCCCCTGCAGTCTCCTGCACATCCATTCCAGGCTGCTGGGTCCCTGCCCAGTTACATAAATATGGATCACATTAATTTTCCAGCCCTCTCTCTCTCCCCTCCCTGATGCCCCATATCCTCTTACCTGTCTGTAGCAGCCAGTTTAGTTCTCAGTCTGTCCATTTATTCCCTGTCTTTGCATCCGTTCATGGATCCATGGCTCTTCAGCCTCCTCAGAGTCTCTTTGTGAGGCAAACAGGCTTTTTTCCCCTATAAATCTTCCCTCTCTTGGATTGCTGTGGCTCTGGCAGGCTTTGTGCTACACACACTCTACATCTACAGCTTCTATCCCACGGGGTAAACACCATTTTACCCAGCAGAGCTTGTGGTCCCTGCAGCATCCTTGTCCCCTGGAGCTAATCCTGCTGCTGGGTGAGGCTCAGCAGCCCCTGTGGTCTCACTGCTGGGGGCTGCCATGGGTTTGTGCTGGTTCCTGCTGCTCCCTCCCTTCCAGCAGACACGGCTCCTCTGTGCCAGAGTGGAGCAGCTCAGAGAGGAGATGGAGTGTCCTTCCTCTCCCATCCTCCCCCCTCAAAGAATCCATGGTGTGGAAGCAGCCAACCTGCACGTTCAGGGTTAAGTCAACTTTTCAGCAGCTGAAGAGCTTTCTGATGGAAAAATCAGCCCTGTTTTTTCTCCTGGGCTCCCAGGCTGTCCTATTTATCCAAGCTGCAGCATTCATCTGGTGTTGGAGCTGGTGCTGGGCTCCAACACACATCTCTGCAGTGCCAGCCCGTGGCTAGTGGGTGTTTAGGGTCACTGAGTCTCACTGTCACGTACAAAGGACCTGCTCTGCTGAAAACTGGGCTTGGGATCACTGAAAACCCCTTGTAAAACCCCTTTATCCGTTCTAACAGCTGTGTTTGGATCTCTGGAGGAGGTTGGGGTCCTGAATTAGCTAAAGCTCTTTTTTTTGGTGTTTATTTTCCCCCTGGAAAGGGCAGATTCCCTGGAATAGACCAGTAAAGGAGGCAGATGTCCTTTGGAGGAAGGCACCCAGCCAAGGTCCAGCCTGCTCTGGGCGTGAGGAGCTGTGTGAGGAACACTGGCAGCACGGGGTTGGTTTTCTTCTGTGGGCACTCACAGCTGTGTCTGGATGGTCACCAAGGTCTTGGTGCCCTCAGCTGCTCTTTGAGGAGATAAATGGTGGTCTGTTTGTGTCTCCATAGGAGGAAATTTGTTGAAATTTATTGGTGATGTGGCAGGGTGGAAAACCCTTGGGCGTCCTAATTCAGGGATCTCAGTGTCAGAGAGCAGGGACAGGACAGGAGATACTCTGGAGCTGTCTTACACCATCCCATGGGGCAAGGATGTGGGGACAGGACCCTGTTTCTCACAGAGAAAGAGAAGTGGAGCCGGTCCCCACAGGGATACGCATCAACAGGTGGACATGCTGGGGTGGGCGAGGGTTTGCTGCTCTTGAGGGCAAACTCAGGGGTGCGTGGTGCGAGAAAAAACCCCTCTGCAGCGAGGCTGAAGGGTTGGGGGGGGGGGGTGCCTGGGCTGGCGGCTCCCTGTGCGGGAGCGCGGCGCGGCGGGGGTTAATGTGCGTGTCCTCCTGCGCATCCCGCCCCGCTGCCGCCCGCCCGCCCGCCCGTGTGCGGGGCTCGGGCCGTGCGGGAGCCGAGGCGCCGGGCAGCGCTGGAGCCGCTGCCATGACAACCCCGGGGATGCTGCCGGCCGGGGCCGGGGTGCTGCCGCCGCCCCCCCGCGCCCCTCCCGCCCCGCTGCGCTCCTGAGCCGCAGCCGGAGCAGGCACCGGCCCCGCGGGGGCTCCGGGACCCGCTGGGCACAGCCGAGGAGCATCGGGGACATCGCCTGCAGCTCCGCGGGGAAGTTTCGATCTTGCGACAGAACCGGGATTTTGGGGAGCTTTATTATTTTTTTTTTTATTTTTTCTCTTTTGTATTTTTTTTTATTCTCTTTTCCCTCTGTGATTTAAACAAAAGCTCAAGAGCCGGAGAACAGCCCAGCCCCGGCCCGCTGTGTCCCCCCCCGGTGCCGATGCCGCCCTCCCCTTCCTTTCACAGACACTCACGTTTCCTCCGTGGGTTATAAACTTTTGATGCCAGATCTCCGCAGCGCCTGCCCAGCTGCAGCTGAAAGTAGCGTCTCCAGCAGCCACACATCTGTGACCTTCATCTCGTGCTCCGCACCTTCTCTCCTCCTCTTCCTCCTCCTCCCCCCGGCCCTCCCGTCCTCCTCCCTCGCCCGAGGACAGCGGGACTCCCTCCGATGCCGCTCGGCAGGCTCAGCGCTCGCAGCCAGCCTTGCCGGGGGCTCTCCTGATCTCCGTGGAGCTCCGCAGCGCTCGCCCCGGTGGTTTTGCTCCCCCCCATCCCTCCTCTCCACCCACCCCTTCCCCCTTTTCGCCTTGTCGGGTGTGTTTTTTGCCTGTTGGAAAAGTCCCCGCTGCCCAGGATGGGGGTCGGTGGGTGCTTGGCCCTGCCCTGGAGGTGCCTGGTCGTCCTCTGTCTCAGGCTGCTCTTCCTTGTGCCCGCAGGAGTGCCCGTGCGCAGCGGAGATGCCACCTTCCCCAAAGCCATGGACAACGTGACAGTGCGGCAAGGGGAGAGCGCCACGCTCAGGTAGGAGCAGCTGGGCTGGGGCCTTGGGGGGGCCGGGGGGTCCTGCTGGCGGCTTTTGGGGGATGCTCTGTGCCCGGCGGGGCTGCCGGAGGGTCCCGGGACCAACTGGAGACTTTGCACGTGTCCCAGGGGCTCGTCCCCGTCGTGGCAGGGGACACTGGATGGCAGCTTGTCCCCGTCGTGGTGGGGTTGCCCCGTTGGAGCGGTTTTGGAGGGCAGGATGCTCCGGTGCTTTTCGGGCTGCAGCGCGGGGCTGGCAACCTCCTGGGGGGGCTGCGGGTGCCAGACGAGGAGACGACACAGGGGTTTAGGCGGCAGACAGTGAGTTGGTGCTGCCTGACACTCCCAAAGTTGTGCCGGCGCGGGAAGGGAGAGAGGTCCGTGCTCCTGGCACCGGTGCCAGCCTGCACTGCCAGCGGCTTTCCAGGGCTGCGATGCCTCCGAGGTGTCGGCGTTTGCCTCGATCGCTTTATAGTCTCCGCACGAATCCGTTAATATCAAATCAATCTTTTACTCCAGGGGTGCATCTTATGAATTCTGATGGATGCTTTCTCTTACGTTGTTTGCTGTAGGAGAAACACAGGCGGCTGATATGCAGATGGGTCACTCCTGTGCCGCACAGCACAGCCGAGCATCCCTTTCATTCCCTGAACGAGTTACAGGTGTACGCGGTGCATTGCCCAGGTAGCACAGCAGCTCTCCACAGGCATTGCAGCAGCGGGGCCAGATGAGCAGGGAGCAGCCCAGTCTTTTTTTTTTTTTTTGGAGGGCAGTGGGGAGGCAGCGCTTGGCTGGAGCTTTGGGTCGTGCTGTGCGTGCTTCAGGCAGCCTCGGGAGGACCTGAGCCGGTTAATCCGGGAGCTGTGGGACTTGAGGAAGGAGCTCGGGGATGGTGGGACGTGAGCGTGGAGCAAGAGAGCCCGGAGGAGTTTGTCTGCTGTCCCTGCACCAGCGAGCAGCGTGTGCCCCTCAGCCTGGCTGCTGTCTCGCTCCCAGCCGGAGGAGCAGGGCTGCAGCAGGGAGCAGCTGCTCTTCCCGAAGCCAGGCACGGGGATGGCACAGGCAGGATGTCACGCTGCCCGTGAGCAGCCGAGCCGGCGCTGAGGAGCTGGTGCTGCTTTGAGCAGAGGGTGCTGTGCTCACCTGGCTGCCCGGGCAGGTTTCTGTGTCTGAGGTGGGCTTTGTAGGGAAGTGTTTGTGGTTCTGGCTGGAGGCTCTGTGGGCTCCGTGCTCGGAGGGAGGTGTTGGTTGCCTCTCTGCCCTCTTCCCACCACGGCCGCTGCCAGACTTTGGGATGCTGTCCCTTTTCCTTGGCCAGGGACCCGCTGGGACACGTTTGCCATCACCCCGTGTGCCTGGGGGCTGTGGCACAGCTGGAGAGCAGGGGGCTCTGTCTCCTTGTGCTCTTCCTAATTGAACTGCAATGATGATTAACCTGAGCTGTGTGAGCAAGGTTGTTAAAAGAAAGACAAACCCCCAGAGAGGTGCCTTTGGCCCTGGTGCTCTTTTCCTCGCTGTCGGAATTCGTCGGAATTTGTCTCCGTAGTGGAATGTGGGCTTTGAGGCTCTCGGAGGCGATGCTGGTGGTGCTCAGAGCAGGATGGGTGCCTGTGCCTGCTCCCTGGAGTGCCCCTGCAAGTCCAGCCGAGCCTGCTGCCAGTAGAGGGCTGACTTGGATCTCCTTTTTTCTTTTTTTGTTTTTCCTTTTAATTTTTCTGTTTTATTTATTTCTAAGCTTCTGTCCCTTTTTCTGTGCCGTTTGCGGGAGGGGATGTTTATGAAGCAGCCCTTGAGAGGTGGGAGATTTTAGCTGACCCATAAGAAACTCTGCATCCTCCAAGTGCTGACACTTAGGGGAAGCCCCTGCCCCAAAAGCACCTGGTTTTATCCACTTCCCCCCTTGGCACCTGCTCCTGCCCAGGCTCTCCAGTCCATCTTTTTCCATGTTCTTACCCCCTCCCTTCTCCTCCCCAAGTCCAGCTTTCCCCTGCTGCAGGCAGGTTTCTGCCTCCAGCTCCCATTTGCTCCCAGTCTGCTCCATCTTTTCTTGCACTGCTGTTTCCCAGTGGTCGTTCTCTTCCCTCCTCTCCCTGTTTCCCTTCTGCTGCCCCTCTGGGTGGAAAGTAGTTTTCCATCTTCCCTTAGAATCTGGAGATGGGCAGGGAATTGCACACAGTAAGACAAAGAAGTGGCATCGGTGGAGGGTTGAAGGCAGGAGGACAAAGGACATCTTGAGGATGGGGTTGATGTTTATTTGCAGGCTGTGCTTTCCTCTGAAGAGCCAGGTAGGGAAAAATGCCCTGGGAAGTCTTTCCCAGGGAGTGGTGTTATTGCTAAATGGTATTTTCTCCTCTGCACCCACAGGAAGAGATAGTGGTGTCTTCTGCTGTCCTCCCCTGTCCTCTCCACAACTCAAACCAAGGAGCTGGGCTTGGAAAAATCTCGGAGTTGTAATTCCAGTGTGTAGCTCTTGCAGAATTAGCCCCAGTCCTGCTAGGTCTGGGTGGCCAGGTCCTCTCCCTCATATTGGTTGTGAGATGGGCTGAGCCTGCACATCTGCCTGGCTCCTGCAGGGTTGGTGGAAGCTCTTTGCTTTCTAAGATCAGCCCTTTAACCACCCCTTGCATTGAAGAAAGGAGCTGGGAGAGTGAGCAGATCTGTGTGAAAGTGGTGGAGGAAACCTGGAGGCTTTTCAGGCTGCTTGTGGGTTTCCTGTATTGGATTTTGGGCACTTCCATTTCCAGCTCTCCACCCTTTTTCTGAGAGAGGCTCAGCATAATCCTTGCAGAAACTCAGGCTCCATCTACAGGCAACTTGCAGGTCATCTTAGATCAGCAACAAATAATTTTCATTTTAAGCAGAGATTGTTGGCAATTCACTTCTTTTTATTGTAAGAACAAACAATTCCTATAACAGGCACCTTTCCTCTCACGGGAACTAAAGGCAGTATGGAAATTCTCTGTGCATTGTTAAAAATAAAACCAAATTGCCTCTTCCCTAACTCAGGAACACAAAAATCAGGTGTTGAGATGGCAGGAGTAACTCGTGTTACCCACCAGTTAGGGACATGAAATGGAACAAGGAGCAAACTGGGAACCACCAGGGATGTTGGAGACGGTCACTTTTTAATCTCCCAGCTGGGATTTGATGTGGAAACAAGGATTAAGTTCCTGCTTTTGGGAAGAATGCCATTGAGTCTTGGCTTTCTCCACATGCTGCTCGTTGGATCTGTGTCCTAGGGTTGCTGTGGGGGCAGCACTGGCAGGCCATGGTTGGCCAATCCCAACGGGTTGCTCCTTCCTGGAAACTTTGGTTGGGTTTTATTCCAGCTGCATCACGGTGGTGGAAACATCTCCATGAGCCAAAGGGGAAACTGTGGCAAACATTCCCAGGGTGTTAAAATGGGGATGGAAACGGGATCGTCCCGCTGTGCCGCCGGCAAACCGACCTTTACAGCAGCCATCAGTACAGTTCATAAAGACATAAACCACCAGCTGCTCCGAATTTCAAGGCTTTATAGTTTTATCTGTATTTAAGAAATATGGTTGGTTTTTTTCTATGGGAGAGAGTGCATTTTAGAGGTTGGAGGGATTAGCTGGGAGATGGGGTGTGTTGAGTTTTCTCTGTGGCTGTCACCACAGGGACACCAGGACTTAAGGAGGCCCCTCTGTTGCTCTCATCCTCAGTTTCCCCATGTCTAAAATGACCCAAGAGCAGTGGTTTATCAGTGATGATTAGAGGAATGAGTACTCCTAGGTGATGCTAAGGCAGGTGTAACTAGGTTTTTTTCCAAACTAAATAATATAGAGCTGCTTTATCTCTGTATGTAAGGACAAATTCTCAAGTCAAATCCCCTGGGCTTGTCTGCTTCTAGTGAACCCATGACCTCTCCCACTGCCTGCCCATGAAGGAGACCAAGAAGTCAGGATAGCTTTGCTCATTCACATCCAAGACTCCGTGCCTGGCTGTATTCTGCCAATTAGCGAGTGTGAGAACAATTCCAATTAAAAATAAAAAGCCCGAATAAAACATCATGAGATGCTGTTCTTCCATTTATTTTTGCAATTATGGTTTTAATTATTTCTGACAATGCCTGCTTTGATTCCTCTTTTTTTTCTTTTGCTGTAACAACCTACCGCAGTCTGTTTTCCAGCACACGACGAGACCTCAGTGAAATACAACCAGCAGGAGCAGGCTGCAGGACCACAGTCTCCAGGCATAGATCTGGGAAGTCAGGAAACCACTTTTTTTTTTTGCCTCTTTTTCAGTCAAACCGCTGATATTCTGTGTACCTACCTGTTAATGGGGGTTGTGACACTCACCTGCCGCCCTGCAACAGCAGCCACGGACCTGGCAGAGAAAAGAAGCGTTAATGCAGCCACGTCTCTGCTGTTAAATCCTTGCTGGGGAGAGGGAAGAGAGTCAGGGCTCTTTGTGTGCAAATGCTAAAAGCGTGGGGATTAGTGCAGAGCAGATTAGTGAGGACTTGCTCCATTGCTGCCCCTTCCTTTCCCCCCCTCTCCTACCCAAAAAGTTTTCTGGAGCAGCTAAATATATACCTGCCGTTTCCAAGGTAGAGCTCGCTGCGTGGCAGAGCTGTAATTGGCGACTCAGGGAAATTACAGCCACGGATTCTGGCATTTGGATCCTCCTGGCTGGCATAATAATTTCTCCCTAGGTAGCTGGTATTTAACTTGTCTTATCTGCTCCTGATAGTTGTAATTACAGTGCCCGCTAATTTCACTGTAATATTGCAGCCACTGGAAGGGTGGTTGGAGAAAGGTCAGGGGGTTGCAGGAAGGCTCGTTCCTCCCCAGCCTGCTGCACCAATGATGCTGCCAAAAGGCAGATGCTGAGCCTATGGAGCTGGTACCCAATGTCCTTGGCTGTGCTCCTTCCCACCTTGGTGGGGCTGGAGCAGCTTCACAACCCCCACCATGCTGCTGTCCTTATTGGAATCAGAGAGGGACGTGCTGGAGGGAGGTTTAAATCCTGGTGTC